TTAAACTCTGTTTAAGCGCTTAGTTGCCCTTTTCTCTCATCCTTGAGGCTTTGGATGAGAGGATTTTTAGGGGTGGCGGTCAAGATGAACGATAGGTTAGACCAGCCGCCTAACAGCTACCGTATGCCGCGCGCAGGAAGTCCCTCCCACTGCAGCGATAGCGCACGCGCGCGAGGGATATGCAACGCGTACCTTAAAGGGCGAAGGGCGCGATATCGAACCGTTTGAATGGATTTCTTGTTTTGCGCCCCCATTCGTAGTATTTTAACATTTTTTGTTGTTTTATCCCTTTTTCTATTTTGTGTAAGTTCGCGGTTACTTTTTTGTACTATCCGTATTACTAAGGTTTCGCCTTATAACAATATAGTCTTCGCGTGTCCTTGCCTTTCGTATTTATCCTCTTTTGCGCTCTCTAAGCTATTATTGTCAAGTCACTCATATTTTTCCAGATTTTCGCTGTTTCCACGTACCGATGTTTTGCCCAGCATCTGGATGGATCGGACGATCACAACTCTGGTACAAGGCCAGGGTTAGTTCATTTGTTTTATATCATTGTAATTGTTAGGATATTTTGTATTGCTTTTTGTATGTATTTTTGATTTTTGTTTTGTTTTCTTAACCTTTGTATAGGTTTTGTTATATGTGAATAATACAGTTTAATTTAAGAAAAATGTTCTTGTGCACAACAAACAAAATACATACATAAATTTAAAAACGTGAAACACAGTTTAATTATTGTACAATAATGTCAAGGTTTTGTGTGCTTATATTGGAATGATTCATTACTTTCCTCACTGCACTAATCGACGCCCTCTCGAAGTCAAGCACAACTCTTAAATTAGCTCCGATTGCTCCTGCTCTTTCGATTTCTTCTTTCAACTGCGCAAAAATGAGTTCATATGTCCTCTCATTTTTGCTTGTGGTGATGGCATACAGCAGCGGCACGTCCACGGTGTTGTTACAGACTCCATGCACAGTGTACAACTGGCCGACCCCGTTGGTAGCATCAGGCTGCAAGTCATGCACGCCGTCCGCTACCAACGCGTACAACC